ACTCTTTCATAAGTTTGTGAAGATTCTTCTTGTTTATCTTTAATATTTGTAATTTTGGTCTTTAATTTTGAATAATAGTTCTTTGCAAAGTGATCTGATTTGTCACAATTGTAACAGATATCTTTGAACTTGTTATTCTTCTGATTATTATTATTCTTTTTATTATTATAGTGACTTTCTGTCTGATCAAGTTCTATTAGTATAGGATTATTATTTTGATGACTTTTGTATTGATTTTGAGAATGATAACTATTATTATTTTTATTTGATAGATTTAAAGATCTGTCTTATCTATACATAGCAGTATTATAATAAATAGTTAATTTTCAAGCATCTTCTAAGATTTCTAATATCTGGTAACTAATTTTTATTTTGGTAATAGATTTCAAATCTTCTATAAAATATGTGACTTAATTTAGATCATCCATATTAGTTATTTGACCAATTATATTTCTGAATTTAGTATTATAGTCTTATATTAAATCAGTCTGGTGAAGAAGATATAATTATTTGCAAAAATATTATTGATAATATGATAATTGAAATATATCTTTAAGAGTTGTAATAAAGCTTATCAATTTTTAAAGAATGTAATACTATTATCTGTCTTAACTTTATTAAGATACTAATATAAAGCTACATCAGTCAAGAAGATGATAATATACTGTATTTGAATTTTCTTATCTGAGATTTCTTGAGTCTGAAATATTATTTTAACTTGCATAATCTAAACAAGTATATTTTTATTTGGTTCTCCTAAGTAAGTTGACAATTTAATTAAGAGATGAGAGAAGGACTTAAAATCAGAAGGATCATCTTCTTTAACTATCTTGATAAGTTTAGTTATGTTCTGTATAAATTAAATAAATTATTCTGAGTTTATTTTGATAAAATTATTTTACTAAAACTAAAATATGTATATGTATGTAATATATATGATGTGTAATATGTAATAAGATATTAGAGAGTGATCTTTGTAATAATCATGTCTGCTACTACTAAGTTATAAGATTATTTTGTTAATAGTTATAAACAAGATAAAATATAATATAAATAGTTTTAATTTATAACTTATAATTATTTTTATTATTTAAAAGTATTCAGATCTGAAATAAAAATATAAAACAGACAGGTTATAATAATAATAAATACAAAATATAAATAAATTAATAATGATCTATAAATAAAATATATATAGACTAAACAGAATTAATTAACTTAATTTACATCTTTAGAGAGTAACTAATCATAATTCAATAATTAATAATAATATAAATAATAATATAAATATAATAATAAAAAGAATGAATAAAATTATAAAGAAATAATTAATTAAAAATATTAATAATCTAAATTTGTAATTGTGATACACATGATAATTATCTGAGTAATAATATGCTAAATCTAGATGTATTAAATACATAATGATTATCTGTATATCCAGAGTAAAATTGATCTTCTTAGAATATAATACAAAGCTATCTGTTATACAGATAATACAAAATGAAGATCTAAACTAAAAAAAATCTAAAGGAAGATAATCTAATCAAAATTATTATAATATTCTTCTTTATTAATTCTAGATATAATGATTAATTATAATAATATTAGATGAATAAATTCTTTATTATCATTAAAATTATATAACTTTACTCTATTTTTTATATTTTATTATTAAAGTTTCATATATAATAATAAATTCAATTTATATATAACAGATAAGATTACTTTAAGAATAACAAAGAATTCAATATATTTAGATATAAGCTTTTTATTAAAATATTAGTTATCTATAAGATTACAAATATTATAAGTTAAAAATAAAACTTGATCTTTAATTTTAAATTCTTGATATTGATGAATTAATTAATATATTTAGATTGATGATTTTGTACTTTTATTAATAAATCTTTGATATCTTAATTATATTATTTTAATATTAAATAAATTTATTAATAGTAATAACTTTATTATCTAAGATGAATATTAAAGATATTGATCACAATCCAACTTAAAAGATATATAACCAGAAGAAGCTTATATAAAATTATTTTAGCAGTAACAAGATATTTATCCTAGTGATCTTGATTATAAGTTAAATATATATATAATATTTCTTCTAAAGTATAATTCATTCTCTTAGTTTGTTTATCTATTTGTGAGTGAAATATAATTAACATAACTAATTTAGTACCAATTTATTCAAAGAGATTTCCAGAAATAACTAGTAAATTTGGCATCACAATCTGAAATTATAATATGAGATAATTTATATAATTTAAAAATATTATTGAAGAAAAGTTTGATAATTTCAGGTATAATAATAATAATAATAATATATATAGAAATAAAATGAATATATTTAGTAAAATAATTAATAATAATTTAATAATCAAGAAAAAAATACATATATTCAAGAAGTTAAAAGATATACTAAGTCATTTTACAATATTAGTGATAAAAAATTTATATAAAAGCTTGTCTAAAGATTCTCTAATTTAATTTGATCTCAAAATATATTTTTTCATTAATTTGAAAGAACATGATATTTCAAAAAAACAATACTTGATTTACAATTGAAAAAGAAGTCATTAATAAATTCAAATAGAGAAAATCAATAAATATTATATTGTTTTTGATTATAACTTCATTTACAAGTTATTGTAAAATAATATTCAAAAGTATAAAAGCTTTTCAAGAATTATGAAAAAGCTCAAGACTACTCTGAAGGAAGTTTGATATGTTGGTTTTGAGGATGTTGTGGGCTCAATGCTGAAATCAAAAGAATATTAGAGCCATATGAAGAGCTAATAATATATTACATATGAACGCCTTATAAGAATTGGATTTGAGAACTATTAAATTGGTATAATATTAAAAAACCATCTCTTTATAGGAACAACTTCTCTGTAAGAGCTAGATTTTCTAGTCCAACTGCATTCTTAAAGAGAGGTATGACTGTGTCAATATGTTCTAATATTAGTATTTATATATTATTGTCATGTTCGTGAATCTGTGATGCTAAGTATATGTCAAATAAAAGTCAAAGCTGATGATTTGGCTTGAACCCTGAAAATCGCAAGTCATTGATTTTTTATATATTACGAAAAGTACAATAACTGATAACATGGTGCACTCATTAGAAAATAAGTGAAGGAATGCTCGATAATAGGTCGTTATATAAAATGGAGAATTGTCATGGAAAGAAGAATCAAAAATTTATATTTTATTTTATATTATTGATGAATTTACAGTGTAACAATAATATTCAATTGTCTTCTATATATTAATATAATGGAATGTATTTTACTAATATTTTTATTATTGCCTCCTTGAAGGATTATTTTGTGAACGCAACGATACATGCAATTGAATTCATCTTTCTAATTGATAATACAGAACAAGTTCTAAGCATATCTCATAAATCTTTCATCATTTTCTCTTCCCTAACCAACATACAAGTTAACATGATCCCTTATCATTTTTGGGATCTTATAAAGACGTACCTAAAATACTCGGTCAATTATGACAATACTGAATACATGTATATTAATTATATAAACAAATGTATGCATGTGCTTTCTTCATAAAACTGTTCAAAAATCAATTTGCGACCTTTTTAAAGCAAAGTGTACTACGCGGTGTAAGAAACAACGTAACGGTAACCTATGAAACACTATCGCTATACACAAATTTACTAATTTCCCATGGAACATCTCGCTGATTGGATGCGTCTAATAATAAAATCAAATTAATACTTGTATATCCAATTTTAACATCTTATACATGTATTTTACCTTTTTTAATTCTATTTTTTGAAGCAAAAAACGTTGCTGATCTAAAAATTCGTAACGGTAATACATTTACATGTATTCACAAGTGTAACATAATAACTACTTTTATCCAGTTTTCGAGTTAACAACATTCGAAAGATCTTCAAACTTGATTTTCTAATCGTTACTATCGTTACTTGTGTTTCTTGCGTTAATATACTAATGTAAATTATTATAACGTAACTTTGTTTGTAATAGCTCGAAATTAGTTCTAATCAAACTTTATCTTGAAGCAATACATATTTCAAGCTTAAATAAAGGAATTAATCGTTCGAACAAACGTCGGTTCCAAGCAAAACAAGTTGTGTGGGAAAATCAGGATACTTGTAAAAGTCGTGTAATTTATGAAACATGGATCAAAACAATTAAACACGATGTATCAAAATAAATATAGTGAACAAAACAAAACACATTTATTGATATCGTTATTAAAATATTGATACATGTATAAAAATTGGTCTACACAGATAGTAACATAAAAATTCAAGATATATGTTGGTAGGTTTCTTTTTATCGGATTTGCTTTGCCGGATTAATCAATTTTTTATTGGTAGTTTTATATTGCGTAATCAATTTTATCCAATCAGCGAATGATTTTTTCATCGCCCAATCAAAACTTTGGAATATTATTTGTTTTTTGTCCTCCTAATCTAATTATAGCTATTACCATCCATATATGGGGTTTTCAATGGATTTGTTTGTTTTTACACAACCATGCCATGTTATTAATAAAAAATTCCAGAGAAAATCGTATTACCATAACGATAAATCAAATGAAAATAATTTACGTATATTTAACAGGTCAACAAAGTTGATAGGTTTTAGATGACACTAAGCCAATAGCGGAGATTGTAACCTGTTATTAGCGTTAGAGCCGTAAAACTAGTTAGAAAAAAAAATCAAACCCAATTGCGTATAAAAACTCCATTTTAGCTTAACAAATACATGTACATGGTATAAATACCGATACTCATATACAACTTGTTCTTGTCTGTGTGTGCTTTTTTAATTTTTAAATATTAAATATTTGAAACCCATAAAAATATGGAGAAAATACCAAATATTTTGTTTTTCTTATTGATGCTTTCAATAAATTTTTCGTGCTCATATTCGGGAAATACTGCCTTTAATGTGATATCGAATAACGAGCCGACAAATGATTTTACAATGGTGCCAGATGCTACATCTTACAATGACGGGACAGTGCTACTGCATCTACATTATAATGATAACCCAAGCGCAATTTTTAATTCATCGAAAATATCGTTACGATTGATTTTTCCAAATGGAACTGTACGAGCACTGGATGTAGAAATGGGGAATTATTATGATTCGACAGAATATCCTTCGGTGTTTGTTTATGCGTTGACAAACAATAATATATTTATTACGTATTTGACCTATACGCGTAAACTCGCAATCATTTCAAATTGGGATGGAAAAATCACTTTTGGGTACGTATTTATACTATAATTGATAATTTCTCAATATTAACATCTATAAATTTTCCGTTAATAGTCCTTATGATCTGGTTGGATTTAATAACTATCGTGAACTTTTTGTACCTAACGTTAATCCCTCCAAAGGCTTTTTATGGGCTCAATGTTCTCCGACTAATATCACATGGTTCCAATTCACTGCACCGTTAGTTTTATTTTCTTATACATAATTCAATACTAGCTTTTAAACATATAATAAATTCTTCGAATTTCTATATTAATAGTGATCAAAACGGCCAGATCTCTCTTATGAAAACAGGCGTTATCGTATCACCTGTAGGGACAAATTTCAGTCAAGCAAAAGCATTTCCTACAGTAGACGGAAACTACGGAATGACATTAACCGCGCAAACTAACAGAGTAAAAATTTACAATGTTGATAATTCCACCGTTCCTTTATCGCCAAATTGGTTCGCATATGCGACCTTTTTAGATCCGGAGGAAAGCAAAGAAAATCAAATGTTTTTGATTTATCAGACGAGTGTGAATTTGACTGATTTGGAAATATGTGATTGCAGTGCACATTATGATTCGAGCGGGTAATACTTTATTTCGTGTATATCTTTGCCTTTGGTTTAATAAGCTAAGCCTTTAATTTAATAATTGTATATGAATCTATTTTAGGTATACATGCATACTATTAGCAGAATTCAATAAGGAAACTCCGGAATCAGCGTTTATGAAAGTTTCTTTCTATTCAACAGGCTCGATCCTGGATATTGACCAATTTAATATCGAAGCCGATCACAGTCTTCCCGTGAACCAATCGTGGATTTACAAAATTCGTCCATTATATTACGGCGGGTACATGACGCTTGATTTGAATATGACTGCATCCACTCTCACTGGACTCATTTACGATCGCGACTCCAAATTTGTTTCAAATTGGCAAATTCCTGACGCTATGCCATTACAAGGATTTATTGGTCAAGGGCTTCTGCCAAATAATACTTTATGGTTGTCATATATGCAGATGGTGAATAATAATAGTTGGTCACTAATTACGACTGATATGCCAAAAATGTTTGAAGACAGTATGCAAAAATTTTTTTTTCTATCATTTCGTTTGTATGCTGCTTTAGATAATATAATCAATTTATAATTATTTGGCAAAAAGATCTCGGATTCAACAATCCAAATGTCATCAAAGTATCACCTTACAACCAAAACGTATCTGTCGGCTGGTCAGGTCAAATATCTCTTACATATCGATACCCAATTGTATTATCCTCCGCGAATATATCAATCTATCAATATCGCGAAAACGGGAACGATTTGCTACGTCAAACCATCAATCCTCAAACAAAGTCATCGTTTTGTGAAGTGAGCAATGATCCAAATACAATCACGTGTATGATTCTACCAACTACGTGTAGCCTCCCGGATGCTAAATATTATGTTGTGGTCGATAATAATTTTGCTAAAACTGCTGGGGTAAATGAACCTCTATTTGGAATCAAGCCTTATTTATGGAATTTCACAACAGAATCAGGTAAATTGGATCGTTAATTATCTGCTATTTTGAATTCAATTTATTATTCATTAATGTTATTTTTGATATTATGGACTATAGTTGAAGTTGATGCGCAATATGTTGGTAAGTGGTGGTACCGCGTAAATTTTAAAATTCTTTGCATATACATGTATTGAAATTATATTTTTGGTGTCATAGGGTCCGCTCTATCTTTAATGAGACTATCGCTCGAGGGCTCAACTTTGTTCAAAAATCTCACCTATTCTGAAAAGAAGAAATTTTTTGACGGAATACAAAACTCACTAGCGGAAATTTTGCCAGTTGATCCTAGTCGGATAATTCCAACGTACAAGTCACAAGCCGACCCGACCAATACGGACTTGCAGCTTTTACAATTTAAGGTGATGCCCGTCAACAATTTACGACAACCTAATGTCAAAAGTATTATTTCATCAGTTGACGTGTTGATACGTAACAAATATATGACGGGATTATCAAGTGATAATTATATGAAGTATTCAGATGAAGCTTATGGATTCCAAGCAACACGTAAGTTTGATAATACAGTCAACTCTTGATATGACGAACTTTTTTAGCAGGACTACCAGTTCATTATAGAAAAGAGTTGACTGTATATTTAATTATCACGTTAATAATAATCAAAATAGTTTTTTAATTCTCTTTTCAAAATAGCAAATTTATGGGATGAGATTATGTACAGATTAATTGGTGGACTTGCAGCATTTGTGGTATTAGCAGTGGTTTATGTTATTGCACGCCGAAAAAACAAAGATGTGAGTTGAGTAATATTTGAAAGCTTATCGTTATATTATATTTCTCAATACATGTATTTATTTTTTCCGATTTATTATTTTTTAGGCAAAGAATTTGATGATACTCAAATTTGCACTTTCGGTTACCGATTTAACATTCGATACTCTTTTCGTAGTGAAAAACTCAAGAGATGTTCCATGTCTCTTCGTACCGAGGTAAATAGACAAATCGTAAACTTCAAAGATACTATTGCCCACACGAACTTACTAAAATGCCTTTTATAGTTTGTTCTTTTACGTGTTTCCATTTTGCATAAATTTCTTCTGGGGATACGCTATTCTATTCAGACAAACGCGTCAATACGAAGAATTCTCCAAATGGCTCAAAGATAACACAAAAATTGCGACATTTTTCACAATATTAGGTGGATCTAGCGTGGAATTGCTTGGTATTTTGTCGTCACATATTTTCGGCCTGGGATGTTTTAATGCGCCGTTTCAAGGAGAAGCAGAAAATTTGATATTGTCGGGTGCGATTTTGAATCTCATAATTGAAGATATCCCACAGCTTTTAATTCAGGTGGATTTGATACGTGACTCTACTAAGAATCGATGCGTAAACAACCAATATTGACTTTTCTTCATTTTATTACTCTAACAGATTTTGTACGAATCCAAAACTGTATCATACAGTATTATTCCACTATCCACACTTATTGTCACTTCCATAGTATTAGTCTTCAACATACTTGCACGTACGTACGATACGATTGTAATCTGTCGCGGGCATAATCGGTATCAAAAAACGGCTATCGGTCCGAATTATAATAAGGAGTTAGAAAATGACAAAACGTCTGAAACTAAGATATCCCATACAGTCGGATATCTCTAAATGCTGTGGCGATCAAAAGTAATGCAAAATTGAAAATTTTTAAATCGCGATATATTTATAAGTAGCTAGCAAAATTTAATAAAATTAATATATATGGTACATTAATAGTACCAGTTTTATTTATTAAAATTTAATTTACTATTATTAAACACAATTTTGAGATAAATACGCGAACTCACACAAATGAGTGTTGCATTTCTTTTGATTTTTATTCAAGAGATCAAATGGTAAGTAATGCTACACAGTCTCACAAAATAAACAACTGTTTTGTTTATCAGCTTTTTAAAAATAAAAAACAAACATCAAAATGTCATACAACTCTTGAAGAAAGAGCTGAAATAATCAAAATGGATATATCACAAGAGAAATAGCAAGAACTCATAAAATTAGTCTTTCCATCATCTCATGTATTAATAAAAATGATGTGAATAGCATATTTTAAATAATATAAGTAAGTCTGGTTATTCATGATTATTAAATAACCAGTTAGAAAGAATAACAATCCATCTTATTACATCTCATAACTGTTCTACTGCCATTATCATCCAAAATTATCTTTATGAAACTGAAAATATTGAAATTTCAGTGCATACTGTTTATTATATACTAAAAAAGAATGATTTAATAATGAGAATAAAATAAAAAAATCCATATCTGAAGCTCAAATACCAATATCATTTTGAATTCATTAAAAAATACAAAAACTGAATTTATAAAGATTAATCAAAGATAATTTGGTTTAATAAATCTAAGCTCTAGATTTTTGGCTTTAATAGAAAATAATATTATTAAAAAAGAATAGATGAATTATTAAAAAGTTATTATATTAAAATCTATGATAAAATTTGATAATGAAAAAATAATAGTATGAGATTATTTTATCTTTTGTAATAACTTTTATAAGATTGATGAAAATATAAATAGCATATTATATTAATAAATTCTTGAAGATCTTATAAATACTATAATAATTTTGATTAGATTATCTTCTTTTAGATAAGATTTTTATTTTGCACTATCTGTATAATAAATTAACTTCTATATTACTTTTCTTGAAGATCATTTTCATATTGGATATACAGATAATTATCTATATATTTAATTAATTATATTTATCATATTATTATTCAGATAATTATCATATATATAATAATTATTAATTTAGATTATTAATATTTTTAAAAAGATTTCTTTTAATATTTTCTTTATAATTTTATTTGTTCTTTTTTTATTATATTTATATTATTATTTATATCATTTATAATTTATTAAATTATAATTAATTATTCTTTAAAGATATGAATTAAGTTAATTAATTTTGTTTAACTTATATATATTTTATTTATAGATTATTATTAATTTATTTATATTCATATTTATTTCTTCTTGCTATAAATATATTCTTTTTATTCTGTAAAATAATTTTAAATCTGAATATTATTCAAATAATAAAATTATAAATTTATAAATTAAAACTATTTATATTATATTTTATCTTATTTATAATTATTAATAAAATAATCTTATAATACTATTAAAAAATATGAATTAGCTATTAATAAGACTATTTTTCAATAGAATAATAATTCTAAATATATAATTAATTTGATAAAAAAGTAATTTGATGATTATTTTAGATTGACTAGTATAATTATTTAATATAAATTCAATCAAATATTTATAGAATAAAATAAATTATTATTTTTAGTATTTTTTTAAATTAATTTTAAATATAAAAGACTTATAAAAAAATTATAGCTAAATTAAAAGAAAATTGATATGAATTATTATATGAATTTAATTTATTCTTATCAAAAAAATATAATAAAAGTATATAATAATTATACTAGATAATAGTATATCAGATATAATTAAAAAATAAAAAAATAGAATATTTTTATTTTATATTAAGAATTATATAAATTTATATTAAAAATAAGTAAATATAATATAATACTAAAAATTAAATAAATATTATAATTATAATATAATTAATTTAATAATTCATATTAAATTTATTATATTTAAGTTATTTATATACATAATTAATCTATTAACTTTAATTTGATATTCTTAAGTCTATATAAAGATATCATAATTTAATAATTTTTAATTTTGTATTATATTACTTTTAAATATCATTATATATAACTTCTCTAAATATATTATTTCATATATATATATAATTAAAACTTAGTTTTTAAATATATTTTTATATAAATTTTTCTAAATATATATTTTATATATATAGTAATTATAACAAATTTAATTTTCTCTCACAGATTATTACTATATCACATATTGTATCACACATAATACTATATTATAAAAATTTATCTCATAAAGTCACATAGTATACTTGAGTTATTTTAGTTATAGATAGTTTTCTTAATAGAATTTCTCTTTTCTCTTGTTCTATTAATTTAGCTAGTGTATTACTATATTTATATATTTCATTTATAATTATTTATTTCTTTATTTATTCATTAATAAGTATCTTCTGAAGATATTATCATATAAATATTATTTATTATTAATTTTTATTTATTATATTATTAATTTTATGTAATATTAAATTATTATTTAAAAATGCTATTTCTATTTTATATTTTTAATAATCATATAATAATATAATAAAGAATAAGTTTAAAATATAATCATCTTGTCTGTCTTAATTAATTTTATATATGAATTCTATTTCAATTGATATCATTATATATCTTGAATCTTTTATATCAATTTTTCTAATATATTATACAATATAACTAGAAAAATTACAGCTTTGGTAATAGCAGAAAAAATTAATATTACACACACACACATATATATATATATACTTACTATTAACTTTTCTCTTTCTATATACTTTTTCATTTATATTTGAATACTACATACTTGTATATATATATATATATAACTTTCTAGTTACGTGATATAATATATTCAGATAATTTATATAGAAAAGTCAGAATATAATATTATATCAGAAAAATTCATACAGAAGATTCAAAATATAAAGTGATATTATTTGAAATAGAATTCATACAGAAAACTAAATCAAAAGTAGACAAGAGATTATGTTTTAGAACTTATTCTTTATTCATATGTTAGTTCTTTTATACTTAAAAATACAGAACAGATACAGTGTTTTTAATAAATTAATATTACATAAAATTAATAATAAGATAAATAAATTAATAATAGATAATACTTATATGATAATACCTTCAGAAGATGCTTATTAATGAATAAATAAAAAAATAAATGATTATAAATAAAATATATAAATTTAGTAATATGCTAGTTAAATTAGTAGAACAAGAGAAAAGAGAAATTCTACTAAGAAAACTATCTATAACTAAAATAACTCAAATATATTATATAACTTTTCTTGGCATAATCAGATGGTTGTGATGCAGTAAATCATATGTGATACAGTATGTGATATAGTAATAATCTGCAAAATAAAATATAAATCTAATATAATTTTGTTACAATACTTCTTCTCTTAAGAATCAATATTCATATTGATATTTTGATTCAAAAGATTTTACAAGTTTCATAGTATTATAAAGATTTTTCAAAGATTCCCAGATAAAATTATGAAGAGAGTAATCTAGTTATTTAATTAAGTATTGAGATTTATTTTAAATGGTTCTTTTATTTAAGATTGCTTCCACTTCATATTCTTCTTTATTAGTTCCAAATATAATAATTAGTTATCATGGAATTGGGCAAATGAAATCTTTATTATTATTAGGATTGTATAATTTTAATAATAAAATATGAAAGACAGGGTGGATTTTTATGTGCAAAGGTAAATTCAGTTTATATATAACAGATGAAATAATTTCAAGAATAGAGAAGGGACCAATATATTTAGATGTAAGCTTTTTACTAGGATATTATTTATCTACAAGATCAATAATATTGTGAGTTGAAAGTAAAACTTGATCTCTTATTTTAAATTCTTGATAATGATGATATTGATTAGCATATTTTGATTGATAATCCTCTATTTCCATTAATAAGTCTTTAGCATCTTTAATTATATTATTCTAATATTGAATAAATTTATCAGTAGTAGTAACTTTATTATTTGTGATAAGTATTGTAAGTGTAATTAGATATTGATCACAATCTAACTCAAAAGGTGTATAACCAGAAGAAGCTTAAATTAAATTATTATATGTGAATTCAGCAGCTGCAAGATATTTATCCCAGTGATCTTGATTATAAATAGAATAAATTTGTAATATTTCTTCTAGAATGTAATTCATTCTTTCAGTTTGACTATCAGTTTGTGAGTGAAATGCAGTTGATATAATCAATTTAGTTCCAATTTATTTAAATAGTGATTTTTAAAAATAACTAGTAAATTTGACATCACAGTCTGAAATTATAACTCAAGGTAGTTCATGTAGTTTGAAAATATTGTTGAAGAATAGTTTAGTAACTTTAGGTATAGTGATAGTAGTATAAGTAGAAATAAAATGAGCTTATTTAGTAAGATGATTGATAATAACTAGAATTGCATTATATTTTTGGTGAGTTGTAAGTAATTGTATAATAAAATCCAAAGTAATTTGTTTCTAGCATTATTCAGGTGTTTTCAAGAGTTGTAAAAGTCCTGAGAGTGGCTGATTACTAGATTTATTCCTTTAACATTCTTTACAACTGAGAATATATTTACAAATATCCTTAGATATTTTTGGCTAGTAATATGATCTTTGTAAATATTTATAAGCTTTGTCAATTCCTAAATGATCAGAGATAGGAATGTTATGATGTTCCTTCAAAATTTAAGTTCTCAGAGTTTTATCTTTGGAAATAACAAGATAGTTAGTATTTTTTAAATAAATTCTGTTATCTCTTAGAGCAAAGTATTATAAAGATTGTTACTTTAATGTAGATACTTTAGAATTATATAAGATTATCCAGATTTTCTTGAAATATTTATCATTTTTATATTCTTGTTGTAACTTTTTATCACTAATAAG